TGAAGCGCAAATTGAGACGTCAGTGCGTGGTGTGGTGGAAGTGGTGAAGGTAAAACCAGTTGCCGCACTCGATATAATTTTCAAGTATCTTGCGCAACGGTCTGTGTACACACAGGACAACCTTGAACTTCTCGATGCCATTCTTGATGTGGATGAGGCATATGAACAGATGCGTCGCTACTCCGATGATATGAGTCGAACACTTCTTGCGTTTCTTGTGCAAGGGCTTGAGGGTGCGAGTGGGACGTATCAAAAGTTTATTGAAGGCTTGTCTCGCGAATTTGAGCACCTGCCAGTTGAGCATTGGGAAAAAGGACTTCGTTCCCCGGCGACACAGCGTGGCGCTCTTCTTGCAGCGGAGGCGTATGGTTTGGGTGTCTCGTTTGACTCTATTGAGACTCTCACCGCGGTGTTCCGTGCTGCCATTGAAGCTCTTGGAAGCGACGATGACGAACTTCGAAGCATTGCGGTTTCTATGATCCCACGCCTCATTGCATCGCTTGAGCAACGTGTAGTAGAATCCCTGGAGGAAGAGGAGCAACAGGACCTTACGACCAGCAAGCGTGCTGCTGGCCGATATCTGTTGCAGTACTTGGATGTGTTTCAAAACACATTGGGGGTTACCGCGCGTGCATTTATTACTGAGACAGAACCGGAGTTTAATGTTCTTGGCGAGGGTGAACCCGCGCGAATATTTGACGTTTTCATGAACTTCTATAACAGAGGCCTTGATTATGGCACCTCCGTGCAAAAGGTGCAGGCCGTGGAGTGCATTCAGGACCTATTGTCGTTTGCACCGCGAAATGTGAGCGCGGGCTCTGCCAATACAGTCGCTGGTCGTTGCTCAAAGGTGCTGTTTACACGAAATGAAGGAACCGTTGTTCTTGCGCTTGTCAGACTTTGTTTGCAACTCATGGACTATCCTGCCAGCGGTAAGGAGAAGATGGTGGAAGGTACCATGGCACTTGCGATGTTTAATGCTTCTCTATGCGACAAGGGTGAGGCCCGCGTGTTGGCACTTCGTGTTGTCATTCGATTACTGCAAAGGTCTGAAAAGTACGCCGAACTTATTCTTGGTACAGTGGTGACCAAAAAAAATTCTGTCGACACTGCGTTGCTTCGGGGAGTTATGTGCCGTTTTGTCTCTGTCGTAATACGATACAGTCACTTCACCAAAGCATTGAGTCACATTACAAAATTGATGGACTTTGTGCTGCCCACCTGGGAATGGGCGGAAACGCCGGCAACTGCGGCTTTTGCCGGTGTGGCCGTCGCAGCGCTATGCAAGTCGGCAAGTACTACCGATGGACAGCTTGCTGAGCTTCAAAAGAAGGCGCTGGTAATGATGTCTTCCAAAGGGAGTGCGGCCCTTGGTGGTTTTGCGTTTGCGTACTCGCTTGTCACGTGCTGCATGGAGCGTGCAGACCCGACGTTTATTCGTGCGGCAGCGGATGGCGTACGAACGGCGGCGAGTGTTGGTGCTAGCGACAAGTTGACTATCACGTGGTTGCTACGCGCCGCCGCCGCGCTGGCCAGCACCGGACTCATACAGGCTTCTGACCTCAAGCCAGAAGCATTTGTTCCAATGCTGCGCCGTGTGGACGTGAACGATGAGCTGATGATGAGCACTGCGCAGTATTATTACGAAGTGATTGTGGAGAGGTTTCCTGAAGTGGCTGGTGCGTTGGCAGGTATTCCGCGGGAGCAGAGCACACAGTGGGGTATTGTTGGCCACTTTGACGCCGACCTTGACGACGAAGAGGCCGCTGACACGGTGTACTAGAGGCAGTCACCCAGGCAACTATTCCGTTTGGTGATGTTTACACACGGCGAGCGTGAAGGAGCAGGACGGGACTGAAATTAGGAAGAAAAAAAAAATATACATGAATAACTGATGCTTAATGACCAAAGGGAATGAAGGAGGTCCAATTAAATAAAAGGCAACATAATTATCAGAAGGCGTGAAGAAATACATGCGTAATATACGCAGGTAGGAAGAGATGGATGGGGGAGCGTGAGAGCCGAGCAAGCGTTTAGCCGCCAAAGGTTTGGACATGGAGCAAAGTGCAACAAGTGAGCGGTGTTTATTGTGCCATCTTTTTTCTTTTTTTTTTGTTCTGCATAGAAGTGGGAGCCTTCCGGAACGGGTGGTGACGAAGGAGGAAAGGGAGACGTTAAGAAGCCAGCAAAATAAAACGAGAGGATAAGGAGGAGGAATAAAAGATAAGCGGGAAGAAAATGCAGACAAATTTCCAACTGGCTTCAGTGCATGGCATGTTGTACACGGGAGGCAATGTCGCCTTTTCTCCTGACGGACGCCAGTTGTACTCGCCGGTCAACAATTACATTTCAAGCATTCAGGTCCAGCAGGAAGGGCATCGCTCGCTTCCGTGCAGTAACAGCACGATTCAGTGTTTTGACCTATCACCAGACGGCGATCTGCTGATTGCAATTGGTCGGCGTGGTGTTGGCTTTTTCTACGCGATTTCCGCCGGTGTTGTGCTCGACACTATCGCGTTCCCCCCTGACTGTGAGGTCCGCTGTGTCAAGTTTAGTCCGTGTGGCAAGTACGTTGCAATTGCCCTTGAAAATACTCTTCAGGTGTACACTTCCCCGGCTCAGCGTGTTGTGGCATACCATGCATGTCATCGGGTGGAGAATCTACACGCGGCGCTGACGTTGCCAATTATGAATGTTGAATGGTCACCGAACAGTGAGCACCTTCTATTGTGCGGGCAAGATGCCCGCATGAAGATTTACCCACGTCAAGGACGTCTGCAGCAGAAGGGGATGGCTATACAGCAGAATGCCTTGGTAGGTCACCGCGCTGGAGTTCATGGTGCTTGGTTTATGGATGACGCATGCTCTTGCGTTGTGAGTGTCTCCGCTGATAATGTCATTATCACATGGAAGCGTACAAATGTCACACGTCGAGAGGTGCTGCAAGCTGTTGCCACTGCACAAATGAAGGCGCGTATCATGCAGCAGGAGGATGAAAGTGGTGACGATGATGATGGGGCCGGCCGTGCTCCAAAATCCTTTTTAGAAAAACGCCGGCTGGAGCAGCTGAAGCTTGAAGGGGTGCGTGTCTCCGTTGCGGATGATACGTATCTACCTGACATTCTTCGCTGTGCATATGAGATAGACAAGAAATACCTACTAACACATAAAGGGAAACGTTTCAGTCACATGCTTTCACCGAATTCGTGGTCTTGTGGCGATTGGCTACAACTCTGGTATCTTTGCAATTCATAGTTTGACAACGGCTGACGAAGCGGAACTAACTCTTGTTCATTTACTTTCTATTTCCGCACAGTCACTAACAGCTGCAGCTTTCAGTCCAACTGGTGACTTTGTTGCATTTGGAAGTGCCCAGTTGAAACAGCTTCTCCTGTGGGACTGGAAATCAGAGGCATATGTTCTTAAAGACCAGGCGCACTATTACGATATTTCTCGAGTTGCCATAACTGCAGATTCTGGTAGCATTATTTCTTGTGGTGATGACGGTAAAATAAAGGTGTGGAAAGCGTCCTCAGGTCAGTGCTATGTAACTTTCACAGAACACACAGCACCGGTAACGGGCGTGGTAACATGCGCAGCTACGAATGCCTTTTTTACTTGCAGCCGGGATGGCACAGCAAGAGGCTTTGATCTTGTACGATACCGTCATTTCCGCGTCTATAAAACACCCGAACAAACGCAACTTTCTTGCATTGCTGTCGATCCATCTGGAGAAGTGCTGGCAGTGGGTAGTGGGCAGACCGATCGCATCTTTCTTTTTGCAGTGCAAACGGGAAAATTGATTGATCAACTTCAAGGACATGAAGCGCCTATTGCGTGTCTGGCATTTCATCCGTCAGGCACCGCTCTTGTTTCCGGTTCTCTTGACCACAATCTTGTCTTTTGGGATCTTTTTAACCGCGGAGATGGTGGGGACCGCATGAAGGGTGATGCAGAGGTAGTAGACATTGGGTCTGAAGTGCTTAGTGTTACGTTCAGCAACAGTGGTCGCCGTCTGGCTGTGTTGACAATGAGACAGGAGATATCTGTTTATGAGACCGTCGTACCGACAGAGCCAATCATCATCAAAACCTTTCAGACGAGTTTTGACGCCGCTGGCGGGTGGAACAAGACAGTGGGGCCACGTAGTGCGAACTACAATGCCCGCTTCAATGTCATTGCTTTTTCTCCTGAGGGGGAAAAGATTGTCGCTGGGGGAGATTCCAAGTGGATTGTGATGTATCACGCCACTCAGGGCTACATGCTGAAGAAGTGGCCTGTCACGACGAACCAGGATGTGCAGGGAGCGGAAGAACAATATCAGTGGCGCCAAATGACGGAAGCAGGGCATGTCGACGATATTGATGTTGACGATGCTGACATTCATCTGCGCCGGGGAAAAATAATGGAGATGCCTGGAAGTCGGCACCGCCACTTTGCGACAGGAAAGAGACAAACTGCACTCACGGCACGAACGATGGACTTGGCTTTTTCGTGCACAGGGACAGAATTCGTGGCGGCTACCACCGACGGGCTGTTGATGTTCTCTACTCGTGTTGCACGTCCAAAGTTCCAGCCCCTACAGCTCAGTGCTAACATCACGACCCAACAGGTTCGCGATCAACTAGACCGCGGCGAACCTGTTATGGCGCTTATGGGTGCAATGAAACTTGGAGACAAGATGCTTGGTGTGGAATGCTTACGCCGGATGCCGCGGGACGCCATTCCCGTCGCCGTCTCTTCCGTCCCTTCTGTCTTGTTCCCTCTGTTGGTGCAGTGGGTGAGCACAGAGGTTGAAGAGAGTCGGGGGATCGAGCAGGCTCTGCTCTGGGCGCAGTCTCTGATGCTGCACTCCAATGAGTGCACGGGTGGTTTTGCACAGGAACGAAGTGCCGTTATTCCCGCGTTGAAGGTTCTGCAGCGTGGACTGCAGCAGCACCGGGCGTTGACGGATCTGGCGAAAGAGAATTACTTTTCCTTGCGTTATATTATTGACATGACGAAAATGCAGAAAGACATTTTGCAGCCAGCTGCTACCGTTGAATAAATTTATCCTAGGGCGAGTGAAGGTGCCAAAAGCACACATATAAACCAAGAAACAAATCACCAAAAATCCTACGAATAAATAAAAAGGGAAAAATGCGTTTAAACAAAGCTTGTTTCATTGACGAAAAAAAAAAAAGGTAATTTTTTTTCTCTTTTTCCCCGTTACCTGAGTGTACATCTATGGCTCCTTTATTTTACTCCTGTGTTTGTTAATGAGCGAAGATAACTGTGGAGGGGGTCGTGGAAGGGCGAAAGGAGAGGCGTGCGGGTGGGTGCAGAAGGAAAAAACGAATAGCGTTTGCATGTTATCAACGATTATTGCTAATGATATCGATCCTATTCTGAAGTGCTGCATGATCCTTACGTGCTCTTTCTCTTTCCTTTGTTAGATTTAGAGTCTACCTGCATGATCCCTAAGCCTTACTCTTCTTACTTCACTTCTGCATTTGCCACACGAAGTTTAGAAGGCCGCATACTGTATTATACGCTGTTTCTACCCTGTGCAAGCATCTTGAAGTGAATATTGTCCGTAAGGAAGTTATAGTTTTCATTTTAAAAAGGAAAATGAGAGGTCAGAGTGCTGAAGTACCATTGCGACCGAAGAATTTGCAGTCCTCTCTGGGGATATCTTCTGGAATAAATACTCTTCCAGGCATCACATCAATTATGCGAAACGAATTTCTTCCATTGATGCAATGCCTTGAACAGGGTAATGATGTTCTTTGTAAAACTTATATCGTCGAGCTTGCCCTCACTCTTTCTCGCTTTGATGCTTTGTTAAAGGAAGAAGAGAGGCGAGTTTTTGTGTGCGCGTTCGATGCTCTGGTGAGGCGTCTCCTGAAAGATCTTCATCATCTTATCGAGTTGGAATCCTTTCTTCACCAGGACCTTTTGATGCTCATGGAGCTGGCGGAGAGGTGCCGCAGAGTACACCATCTGTACGACTGTCATACGCGCAGTAGCTCAGCAGGTGACGCTGGCGGTAGATCAAGAGGGGTGCGAAGCACTTCATCCCGCTCTTCGGTAGCCGGAAATGCGTTGGACGTGAAAGGTCAGCGCGGAACATTGGATCCACCTGAAGCGTGTGTGGCGAACTGCACCTCAGCTGAGCTGCAGCAACTTTTTCAGAGTGACGTGGGCCGTCAGTTGCACCCCATGAATTCCATGACAGCCTCAGGCACGTGGAGTGCAGGCGGCAAAGAGAATACTACAAATCAACCTTCAAGTTCCACAATTCCAGCACAGACATCTGTTCAGCCATTCAGGTTATTGGGAATGGTTTTGCCACGGAACTTCATTTCTAAACGGGCTTCTTGCTGGACCGAGGACTTCTGGGATTTTTTGGAGGGCCGCATTCCCAAGGGCGAAATTGCTGCGCTGGCGAGATTGCTACTTTCCGAAGGTGATAACAAGAATGAAAATTTTACGCCTTTTAGCAATGCCCATAGAGACTTCCCGATTCATGCATCCACAAAGCCAACTCGTACGGGTAGCAATAACAGAGATGCTAGCGCCTCTTTTGTGGCACATGTCGACGCAACGCTACCAAAGCGCATGATGCAAAATGCGGAGGATAATGATAGCCTTTCACGTGAGATGGATGGATCAAAATGTGATGAGGCTGGAACTGCTTTTTTGGGAGGCCGGGCGATGAATCAGACGGCGTTTTTTTTGAATGTGCTGGTAGAAGGGCTCCTGTTTGGCGGGTCTTCTTCTGTTTCGTCACTGAACAGTTCC